TTTTTTTTTAGAGTTAAAATTTGGGGCACACTTAAGTTCCAAGTTCCTGCATTTTTTTTTTTTAAAAAAAAAAAAAAAAAAAAAAAAAAAAAACTTGACACTTTTCCAGATTCAAATTTCCAGGGTGAGAACTTCTGTCCTCTATGGCAATCTTTGAATCCTAGAGGAATTAAATAAGGATCCTGCAAATACCAGAGACTAGAAAGAACAACACAAGGAATGAAGAGAGAGGATGGACTAAATAGAGAGGGAAAGGAAAGAAAACAGGAAGGAGGGAAGGAAAGATGAAGAGAGGAAGGATAGATTTTTAGGCAAGGAAGGGAGTAAATAAAGTTTGAAATATTCCACTTCCATACTTTTCCAGACTGTGTAAGAACTTTATGCGGTGGTTCTCACCACCACAGTTATCAAGTATGAAACATTTCCTTTAAACCCAAGTTCTTGATGTTGATGGATCTTTTTCCAGATGACGTAAGTGTTTTACTTCTCAACAACACTAGGGGGAGTTGGACACACACTCACAAATATGTGCTCACACACACACAGTCTGTGAAAGACACAGACACTCATCATGTCCCACCAGTAGAGCTAAAATGAAGTCCAGGCTCACACATTCAGTAACAAAAGGGGCAGGGTAAATTCCTCCAGATAACTTATCCATCTCAGCTTCATCTCCCGACTGTAGCAGTGTTTCCCCCCCTTGGTATATTTAAATAATATTGGTGTGGTGTGGGCTTGAGAAGGAAAAGAAAAAGAAAAAAGAAAGTCAATTCAATTTGAGATGCATTGCGATCTCAGTCAGGGCATCTTTGGCCAGGGAGAATTGAGGCAGGGGTAAAGATTGTGGAAACATTGACATTTACAAAAGCAAACTGAAGCCCAGGTGAAGGTGCTGTTGTGGGGGGAGGGAAGGGCATATTTCTTTTCAGAGCAGTGTGTTTTCCCTCCTGCCTGTGCCCGAGCATGTGTATAATCATGTTCATAAATGCATTGTTGCATGGTCGGGTCCATCTGTTGAGAGGTATTGGCTCACACATCGCTCCTGGCTGGACCAGTGGAGCTGCGTCTGTAGCGGGCAGACTGATGGCGAGTGGGTCTGGGTCACAGCTCTCCGGCAGTCTGATGAATCTCCCTTTATGCCGCACAGGCTGGCAGTGCAGTGTACTAAAAACGTACATGCGCTTTTCAGGACGTTACAGAGCTCATACGACGGCATGCCGAAGGACTGAGGCAGGTAGAAAAATGNGANTCGCATAGATCGGTCACAACTTCTTTACAACCAATGCTGTCAGTTAAATATAGTTTCATATGTGCAGCGTTATCTGGTTTGAATAGTGAGCGATGCGTAGGTCGGCCTTCGATAAACGTTATGAAAGCAGACATCTGTGTCCTGTTTCAATCAGTCTAGATTAGTACATTTAATACGTTCTCACGTCTTTTTTTATAAGCTGTCTGAGTGGGGTACTGCAGAGCTGCTATCAGATGGCAGTATGTTAACTGAAGTAGATGGCAGGGGCAGATCTACCTTGGGAAGATTTAGGATGTGTGAGCAGGATGAGTTTCCAGATTTATTTTACATTTCATTTATATTCAAATGAATTTAGTGAGAATTGTTGCTTTAAGATGGCATGATACATTCAACTGCTACGACCACAGAACACCGTTAAACACTAACTTATTTCTCCTTTCTTCTTGTCTTGAGATAAACTCTTATCAGGTCAAACAGAGACTATTAATAATTAAATGTATCAAAGAAAAATGTTAATCAGTTGGCAGATATTGGAAATTAATACCTTGCTTATCTATCCCATCAGCAAGTATCAATGCAAAACAAATCTAAAAGATTATGAGGACAGAGTGGAATAAAGCATGGCAGGAAATGATGATGATGATGATGATGATGATGATGATGATGATGATGATGATGATGATGGTTAGGATCACTGGGAACTGTCAGAAAACTGCTTCCAACTCTGGTCTCTCTTTGTGCAGAACTGTTTGAGTTGACAATTAAAAGGCTAAATGATGTAAAGAGTTTGCACTGCGCTAAATTTGGTTTACATGAACAACCAGTCTTAAGAAAAATATGGATTTTTGACAAAAAAAACAACAACAACAAAACTTTGGTTCAGAGGGAGTGTTTCACAATGCAGTTAATAAAAGTGTTTAAAATGCAGTGATGACCACTGAGGTTTCATGACGGGTGAGGCTCAGGTGATGTGCAAACATTTGAAACCCAAAATTGAAGCTTATATTTCAAATTTGCTCTTAATTGTTGCATTTATTTGTCTTGAAGAACACCTGTTGGCGCTCAGCAGTTCTACAATACTTTTTGCCTCAGCCTCCCCATCCATAAGGCTAATTATGTCACACACACACACACACACACACACACACACACACACACACACACACACACACACACACATCTATGTATTTTAATATGTAATTGTATGTACTTTTGTTAGTGTTCTCTAACAAGTGCTAACTGTGTCCCAGTTGGAAGTTCATGTTTTGCGCTTTGTTTTTTAGGCTTTTTGACTTGTATTTGAAACAAGTTGGGTTGTTGCCTTGCATTAATTACCATTTGGGTTTTTAAGATACTCAAAGCACTTGTTAACAAGCTGAATCATCAGCTCTTGCAATATAAAAATTTGCCTCACTATTAAGGGCCAATGCATTTGGCTTGTACAGCAATATTTTTTGCACATGTACTGTTTTGGTCTTTCGTGTCTCAAGCTAGAGCCAATTATCTCAGTGTTTTATTGTGAAAAAAAAAATTATTTGTTGTTGATAGTTCCTTTGAGTTTTCATCATTCATGGGGAATAAAATGTGTTTCATTAGTTTGTTGATCGTTGTTATGAAGCAGAGCCACAACAAAGGTTTCTTTAGCAAAAACATAGCTAAAGATAGTTTTAGTTTATGCTTTTTGATTTATAAAAAATAATATTTTCGTTTGTGATATAAGAAGGTCCACTAGACATGAGAGGGGCAGTTCTTTACACATTGCTAGACTGTTATTTTTCTCCCCTGTGACTGTCTCCAGGAATCGTACCAGAGTGTGTAGAAGTTGTTAGATTTTATTCCATGACCAACCTCGGGGACCTTCAGCAATTATTTTGCTCCAGGGAGAGAAGTCTGTGGTTGACTCAAGGCCAGACAGAAGAGAATGGGTGCAAAGAGTACAAGCTTCAGTGTTATAGTAAAGGGGTGCAGGGTTGCTGCTCAGCCAATGACTGTAATTTGCTCTTTGGACATACTCAAACTGAAATGGAGCACAAAACCTATAGTGACTCGCATCATCTTCAGAAAAATTCAGGTACTAAATTCACATATTGAGGCTTTATTTATTTATTTATTTTTTTGCTCCAGTTGGCATAGTATACATTAAAATTGGGGTCTGAAAATTTTAATGTATGGTCCTTTACAAAGCTCTCTTTGAATCACTAGATAGATTTTGCTACCGCCTTTTACTCTCAGCTACATCAGAATAACTATTAGGACACTGAAGGAGTTGACCATGTTCATGCTGAAAGTGGGTTAAATCCACATTGAAGAGTCACATTGGCATTAATTTGACCAACATATGCAGCAAATGATATTAATAGGTGGAAACAGGTCTTTTTACATTCACCGGATGTTTTTTTTTTCTTCTTCTTCTTCTTCTTTACTTGTCTGCAGAGTTCTGGGTCCTGCGATGACATTCAGGGTCGGCCCAAATCCTAAAAACGTGACCACTGCAGACCTGGTTCAAGCTGCAGGTAAGACCAACATGCGTGTTTCCATTTATCACCCTCACAGAATGATCCCCATTGATGACATTCATTCCGATTCACCTCTCCTCCGCAAGGCGGTTCACTTAGTCACAGTCTTTCCTTCAGCATACAGTTCAGGTCTGTGGGTTTTCATCATCTCCAGTCCTTAAGAGGATTGTCAACACTGAGCATCTGCAACAGAAATGATGATCCCTCCATCCTTCCTCTGCCATGCTTGCACACAATGCGCAGGACAGTTTGTTTGGTTTGTTAGGTCCGGCAGACTGACAGCTTGGAAACAGGTTTGTGTTGGCCAGTCTGAGTTTGTATGTCTGCAGTGTGCACTGGATTGATGTAGACTGATGGGGATCTGTCACCCGGCGACAGGTCGCTGTCAGTACGCTCCTCTGCTTATTGTCAGCGCTCCGGTCAGTCAGCCGTGTGTGTTTGTTCAAAGTGTGTCCTTATTTCAGCCGGAAATGACTTTGAGCAGAACAGCGAGCTTTCAGTATGATCCAATATTCCCCTCGTGGAATCAAAATGGTGTTGTTATTGGCAGAGTTGTGTTGCTGCTCCTAGTGTCTCTCTTTTTCGTGTCGTTTGAAGCAGCAGACATTTGTTGTCACTGTCCTGTTGGAGAAAGCCTGGACAATGGATGATGGGGTTTAGATTGGCATGTTTGAGGCTGTTCATCTGTTATTTTCTATTTTTTATTTTATTTTATTTTCTTGTCCTCTTTTGCTTCTCCTACCACGTGTGACTGATTGTGATGAGGTTTCGTGTGGTGAGAGCTAATGACAGCCATGAGCTGGGCTGAAATGTCAGACCAAATGTTATGTCAACATGATCATGAGCCTGGTCCACAGTGATGAATTATGAACACAGCCGGCTTGAATAGTAATTTGTTAAAGTGGAGGGAAGGGCTTTTCTTAATTAAAAAAAATCACTTTCATCCCAAATAAACATGAGATGTGGCTCTGAAATGCATTAAAATTGCAACCACAGATCATAGAGGGGATAGATTAAGAGTCCTGGCACGAGATTTATTCCCTGTACTCCCAAACCAGTGTGAAGTGGACAGGAGTTCCCACCCGCCTCCTGACGTTCAAAGCAATCTGAAAAAAAATAAAAATAAAAAATAAGCGTTCATCTTCACTTTCCAGCGACACAAAGCAGTCGCTGACATTGACTTCAACACTATGTGGCAAAGGCGCGATGATTTTCAAGCCATCGCCGGGTTGCAGAGGAGCAGCATGGTTTGGGTGCGCTCTGAAAATCAAAGTGACGCCCACATACAGTGGCCACCTGGGTAATCCTGGCTGACCTTTGCCTTATGTGTGACTGTGCATAAGTGACGTGGCCTCCTAATGAACTCGTCAAAACCCCCCGCTGCATCCAGAACTCCGTCTGCTGTGAGAAGCTTTGTATTAGCTAAGCAAAAAGAAAAGAACAAAAAAAGCCAGAAAATTCTGAAATTTTTTTATGGAAAATTTTTTTTAAACCAGCAGCAAATGAAAATGTTTTGTCTCATTTTTTTGTTTCTCATTAATTACCTCTGAAAGAAGACATATTTTGCATTACATAAAAACAAAATGCTTCATTTGATGATTTTTTTTTTTTTATCACACTTGCAGTCCATCAGTTAGCCCATTGATGGTTATGCTCAATGAAAACGATCATATTCTTGTCCTAACATTTGGCAAACACTTTTTGTCCCAATTTCCCCATTCCGACACTCTTGAAGGTGTTCATATTATTTTACATGGCTCTAAATATCATCTTAAGAGATATTCCTGCTGTGTGGTGTGTTGGGAGTGACCTTGTCTGCCCAGGAGGACATTGGGACCACTCTGATCTAAAATTGGGGAAAAACGTTGAGTTGCGTTGCTTTCTCTCCACAAACTATCCCCATTGCTTCTTCCCAGTCAGCCATGTTTGTTTACCCTGAACCCATGTTTGGTTGCGAGAGGTTTTGTGAGATTTCCCATCTGACGTCTGAATGTCGGTGAGTGAAATCGATTTGTGTGTGGTGTGTTGCTCCTGTCCTGTGGCCTGGCACCAAGCCTGTTATTTCTAAGATTTTTTTTATGATCATCGTATGTGGTTTCTCAGGTTCTGTCTCTACTTAATCATTGTTTATTAAAAATTAAACTAGAAAAAACAGTAGATTGTCACAAGCATTTTCAGTGTTTGTTGTTTTTGAAACAATAAACACATCAGATTCTTACTTGTGTATCCTGCATTTACTATTTAAACTCCAGCTATTGACTGTTTTAAAAATCAATTACGTTTCTTGCAATGTTTTTTGTCTTTAAAGGTCAGAAAATTGGAGGAGTGTCTGTTTCAGTTACTTAGTCTACATTATAGCATAAATTAAACCTCCATGGTTGATAAGTTCACTGTACTCTGAGGTATCTAAACAAGATTAATATGGCTCTGCTACATTCTGCTGTCCATCTATCTGCCCATCAGTTCCATTCGATGCGTTCAATGCCCCATTGAAACGAAAAGACAAAGAGACTTGGCTGAAAGGCACGGACAGTATAGAGGAGATTTGATAACTCGTTGAAAAGCATCTTTTTTTCTGCAGCAGGTTCTTAGCGGCTGTGCGGTGAAAGGCCTGCTGGGAGGTCTGACTGTATTAGTGGAGGTAGAGTTCTCTTGTGTGCTGCTCAACTGGAAAACTGCAGGACAAAGCCCGGCACTGCCTAATCCCTGCTCGGCTACGAAACAAAAGAGAAAGCTGCTGCTTTATCAAAACTACAAGGCATTCTGTGTGTCCGTGTTTGTTCGTGCGTGTGTGTGGATTGTGTGCAACTCAATTTTTTTTTTTTTTTTGCAGCTGTGTTCATACTGCGCCAAGAAAATGATTTATTCAATATTTGATGAAGTGGCACCCAAGCTGCTAAAAAAGCGACACTGGAATGTGTTGTTTAGAACTCTACTTTTTTCTTGCTTCCTCGCAGTGATTTCTAAACATGTAAATCACCTTTGGTGGGGGGATAATAGATCTGCCAGAGCTGCTTTTGCTCACCGCGGAGTGACGTTTTGTCGCCGATGATGGATTTGATCCACTTACACGTTTGTGCTCTTCGCAAGTGTGTAGGCGGTTTTATATGTAGGATGAGTGCTTTGGCTTCGTAAAGTGTTATTGTACAATTATATCCTGGCGGGATTGTTTCTTTTTATTTGTGATATATGCTGCTTTTATAGCTGTGATTATAAGTACCTCTAATGAATTTGAGTGTTTTGCATTAAAAAAAAAATAAAAAAATGAAGCATGATGACTCGGATGGGATCAGGATGTCCAGACCAAACACCAGTATTTGTGATGGGATATGTGTGTGTTAACCATGGCTGATAGGTGGAGGGTGGGGAGCTGGGTTGAGGACACTCCTATTGTCTTGGCTGTCACGGCTGGGTGACCCCGGAGCCCTTTAGAGGCCTCAAAGGCCCCAGAGGCCAAACCACAGCAATGAGCCGGCAGGCCCCCAGGCCGTGAGAACCCCGGCCTTGGTCAATGAACGCTGGGATCATAAGGACGCTGGGAGCAACTTGCTGGGCCATCTGGAAAAGAGCGCAGGGACCCTGACACATGGCTGTCACCCTGAGGGAGACACGCAGAGATGTGGACGCAGACAATGTCGGCCCCCGTGTTTCCTGCCTCAGCTTCTGTCTTTTTTTTTTTTTTTTTTTGTCTTCCACACACACAGAGTCACGCCTAAGTGAAAACCAAGGAGGGTACGAGTGAGACGGAAAACTTTGTTGAGGAAATTTCAAAGTAAATCAAGTGGAACAAGAGCTGAATTCAGAACTTATTTATATCATTAAACACCTTAGCTACAGAAATCATATTGAATAAGATCTTCTCGTTGCATGTTTCTGAAACCTTTTAAACGAAGAGAAACACACCAGAGAAGCAACTGCAGCAGATCATCAGTTGGGGAAGGGTTACAAGGGTAACGGATGGTGCAATGTCCAGAGAAATTGTGACAAATATTAACAGATACTGCCATCTAATCTCCAAAGACAATGTAGCAGCGTGGCATTGTTTTGCAATGTTGGATCTGAAAAAACAGCTAACTTCAAAATGAGAAAAGAAAAGAGAAGCATAGATGTTTGGTCATAATGCACAGCTTCATGTCTGGTTAAAATCAAACGCAGCATTTCAATGAAAAAATTTGTGGCAAATCAAGGAGGTGGTAGGGTGGTGGTTTGTGTTTGCCTCGCCTACAGTCAAATGCGACGCCATTTATTATTGATAAAGATGCTCTGCAGGAATGTATCTAGTTTTAGCTTTCAGATTTTTTTTCTTCCTTCTTTAATAAATAGTGACATATAGAAATCTGCTGTGTGCCTTTGTGCCCTCTAGGTTAGATTTATATCATTTAATAACTTGGAAAAGACAGAAATGACCTTGATACATAGAACTATAGAAACTGACAACAGGGTGTCCTTTTTTCTGTTTTTTTTTTTTTTAAAACCATACTATAAAATGTATCTTTTAAATCCAAAAATCCTTACTGAGGTCATTTTAGGACACAAAACGTTTTCAGTCACATCAGGAAGGAAATGAATAGTCTGAACCATCTTCCCCAGCAGGTGCTGATATGTGTGGTGAGGATCTGCCCTGATAATTCAAAACGACTGATACCCGTCCAGACCAATCAACTCCCATTTCACCTTTTCAATTTTCTGTTTTTATGGTCTGTATACAAATAATTCTGGGGGAAAAAAAGCTGTAGAAGAAATAGGAAATCATTTAAATGACACTTAGAAGCATAAACTAAAGGTGCGGAGCGTTAAATATGACCGGTTGCTTTGTACCAAAGACATGTGAGAGGCAGCCTATGTATGTCTTGAATCCTTTCACCTGTCACTCCGTTTGTCTGTCCGTGTTCACGGTTCTGGCTGTATTTTCTGTCTCCTCTGTGGAGGCCATGTAAGATGTGCTCAGAGGCCCACGCACTCGCGCTCGCCCTCTTCCAAACGCGCACAGGAACCCT